GTTGGCCACCATCCCTGTGCAGTCTCTGCGCAGCCTGGACAGTGACGACTTCTGGACCATCCCACCCCTGACTCAGCCATTCATGCTGGAGAAAGGTGAGACATCTTCTACCTTCCTGCTGAGGGTTTCAGGGACAGGAGAAGCCATGGTTGCTTCTGGGACCTGAGCAGGAAACAGCATAGTGGGCGGCCAAGGTGCTTCAGTTTCTCTTTCAGAAAACCCAACCCCCGTTTTCAGCATCTGACCCCAGCAAAGCTGCCTCTCAAGTGTTGGTTTTCATGCCTGGGGTCTGGAGCCCAAGATCCCAAGAGGGACCTCAGATGCTGCCCAAAGGCTGAGTTCTCTGGAAGGGAAGAGAAGAGGGCAGATTTCCCACCCCTGCTTCCACCAGAGCTATTCAGCTTTCATCTGTTTTACATACTTTGCATGTTGCTTCAGATTTCACTGGAAAAGGATTCTGCCATAGAAGAAAATTAGCACTCGAATACCAGTGCTAGAGGCCGGAGCACACCACTTAGCACCGCACTCTCCTAATGTGGTTCATTTAGCCTCAGACACCTGCGGGTTTCTCCATAGGTGGAAATGAAGAGGCCCCTTCTCAAGATCGAAGTTAGGTGAAATGTAAAAAGATGAAAGAATGCTTTAGGGGGCAGTCAGAAGAAGTGGAGATGAAGAAGCATACATATACATACACAGGAAGTAAGATGGAAAAGTTTTATTTAAAAAAATTTTTTTTTGCCAGAGGCAGGGTCTCACTCTGTTGCCCATGCTGGAGTGCAGTGGCATAATCATAACTCATTGCAGCCTCAAACTCCTGGGCTCAAGCGATCCTCCCACCTTGGCCTCTCAAAGTGCTGAGATTATAGGCATGAGCTGCTGTGCTTAGCTGAGATGGAAACATTTTACAGAAAAACTTAAGTTTTTTTTTTTTTTTTTTTGAGATGGACTCTCATTCTGTCGCCCAGGCTGGAGTGCAGTGGCGTGATCTTGGCTCACTGCCAACTCTGTCTCCCAGGTTCACACAATTCTCCTGCCTCAGCCTCCTGAGTAGCTGGGATTACAGGTGCCCGCCACCACACCCAGCTATTTTTTTTTTTAAATTTTTAGTAGAGATGGGGTTTCACTATGTTGGCCAGACTGGTCTCGAACTCGTGACCTCGTGATGCGTCTGCCTTGGCCTCCCAAAGTTCTGGGATTACAGGTGTGAGCCACCTGGCCCTCAGACAAACTAAGTCTTGAGATGGAGGCTCGCTCTGTCGCCCAGGCTGGAGTGCAGTGGCGCGATCTCGGCTCACTGCAATCTTCGCCTCCCAGGATCAAGTGATCTTCCTGCCTCGGCCTCCTGAATAGCTGGCATTACAGGCATGCACCACCACGCCTGGCCAATTTTTCTGTTTTTAATAATGATGGGGTTTCACGATGTTGGTCATGCTGGTCTCGAACTCCTGACCTTGTGAGCTCTCTGCCTCAGCCTCCCAAAGTCCTGGGATTAGAGGTGCGAGCCACCACTCCCAGCCAAAATATATCTATATATTTAAAGATGGAAAGGCATCTCCCAATTGTGCAGGGCCAAGGCTTCCTGGGAGGCTGGTGGGGCTTGTGCCCAGTGGGCAGGGAGCACCACCCAGAGGTTGTCTTGGGTCATTGCATGAAGAGGGTCCCTGCTGCCCAGCCTGGGAACAGTCAGGCATCAGGAGCTTCTTCAGGTGACCCAGGGAAGAGGAGCTTCCTGTCTCAAAGTGCAGATCCCAGCCTGTCAGAAGGGCCAGAATCCCCAACCCAGAGATAAGTCAGACAAGTGTCAGTTTTCTTCCCTTTATGGATGAGGAAAATAACGGCTCAGAAAAGTGAAATGAACTTGTACTTAATAGCAAGAAAATGGCATAGCTGGGGATGAAACCTAGGTCTGACTCTTAGTGATTCAGTTTCATGCATACAGAGAGTCCCAGAGTTTGGGGGCTGTGGTGGGATGGTGGGAGTTGCATGAGGGACAGCATCCTTGGGAAAGGTGGGTTTTTGATGAGCTCCCTGCCTGGTTCCAGCGTGTAAGAGTGCCCGCTTCTCATGGTGAAAACCTCTCCACTTTTAACCTTGCTCTATCCAGCCGAAACTCTCAGAACAGAGTTCAGTGAACATGATTTTCTGTCCCCAGTAGAATTTCTCATTAAAAATCCCAGATCCCTGTAATTATTTTAACAAGTGCCTCCTCCCTTTATCTGCTGTTATTTTGCCCTCCCCCATGCTACCTTTTCAGCATTTATCATCTCATTTGATCCTGGCAGCAGGGATTTAGCAGGAACTAGCAGAGACTTGCTGGTTGGAGCTGGTTGGCGGCCAGAGCACTTTCCCTGCAGCCCCCGCCTTTTGCTTCCCTCCTTTGCTCCTCCTGCCCAGCCCCGTGCCACTGAGGTTTTGTTGTTGTGTCTTGTTTTGCAGACATTTTGAGTTCATATGAGGTTGTTCATCGAATCCTCAAAGGGAAAATCACTGGTGCTTTGAACTCGGAGGTAACTGCCCCTGCTTCTAACTTGGCTATTCTCCCTCCACTCCTGCCCTTGGGGTCTGTGCAGCAGGCTGCAGCCTAGGCCTGGATACAGTATTTACCTGGCATTCTTAGATCAAATGAATTGCTTATCTGAGGGGTTGGGTGAACTGGCTGGGTGGGCCTTCCTTCCCACCAAGGCTTTGTCTTTCTCTTCCAGTCGCACATCCTAAAGTTTGAAGAGTCTAAATAATGGGGCTCCCCTCAGCATGTTCCCTCTCCTGTTTGCCACGGATCCAGAGGCCACCTGCCCTGCCTTCTCGTACCCCTTTCACCCTTGAGGCCTGGGAGGTGAAAAAAGCCAGACTGTGCCCGGGATTGATTTTCATTTTGCTTTTACTCCCAACTTCTCTCCCAAAAGAGAGTGAAGTCTCATTTGTCATGTGTCTTTAGTTCCCCAACTTGGCATGAACATTTGAACCAAACATAGGAAACTACCATTAGGTTGAAAGCCTGAGGCAGCTGGGATGGTCTTTCTTGTGTCTCTTTGTACCCCAGAGCATGATATAAGTGGTCCTAACAGATTCTGGATAATGGAGAAGCCCTCTGCTAGTTCTCCTGGCATTCAATGTAGAATAGGTAGAGAATATTTAACCAATGAGCAAATAAATGTTGGCATGTTTCATGAGTTTGGAGTGATTGATACTTCTTTCCAGCCACCCTTCCACTGCCCTGCCCTGCCCTGCCCTCTAAAACTGCTGCAGTGAGATTAGAGCCTGCCAGTGTGGGCTCTGGGCCATGCAAACCCTGCCTGGGATATAGATACATGCTTGAGGTATAGGGTAAGAGTTAGTTTCATTTCTTCTTGCCTTCTAAGTGGAGAGAAGAAAATTGTTTCATGATGATATGGCCTTGATTCTTTTTTATACTTTGTACTTTATTAGAACCCTAAACTTAAGGTCATAAAAGGGAGTGCTGGGTTCGGCAAGAAAAATGGAGGATTCTCTTAGAGTTGGTGTCATGCAACTCACAGGAGCAGGCATTTCCCTCTATGTCAAGTGAACATGAACCCCACTGTTTCTTCAAATAATTTTATTAGAGCCAAACTATTTAAATAATTTTATTTGTTTCATCCTTTGGTAGATGAGAAAAATACATTACAAAATACATTATACAGAAGACAGCTCACAGTACACGTTACTAAAAACACAATCTACATTCCAGCCAGGGCTGGTGGTAAGTTCAGAAGAAAGCCACAGAGGCCTTGAAAACCAGATTTTAGCTCTATGGAATGAATTTTCCCCTTATGTCCCGTCTTTATCTCAACCTCAGCATATGTTTTATTAGCACCCCTAATTATGTGGGTGTGGGTAGGGTTAGAGCAGCATTGAGTGGGACTGGTGGACTCTCCATCCACCTAAAGCAGCAAACATTAAAAGTCCCTCAAAAGAAAAGGGGTGGGGGAGGGGGAAAGAATGGCCAATGTGAAAATTGCCGTGTCTCAAAGCATTACAGAACTGCTCTAGCATCCTAGAGTTCCCAGGCAGCTGTCCCAAGTCTGGGTTTTCTGAGACTTGGGTCTTCACTTGGCCATCCTTGGCCTCTGTAATTTCCATCTTTATGAGAGCTGCTGGCATCGTAGGTCCTAAGAGGCTGTCTCAGTCCCAGAGCAAGCTTATAGACAAAGTGATACAGGCAGCACCCGCTAGATGCAAAGTCATGCCCAAACTTTTACAACAGCAAGTACATACAACACAGCACTGACAGTTCCAGCTCAGTACAGACTCCCCACCTCACCTTCCCTTCCTGGATGTTCCTGAGCCTGGGATAAGGACACAGGTGTATAGAACAACCCCCTTAAAATGCTAACCCTTTCTAGTAGGACCCACCTAGGGGGAGTGGCTTGAAAGAATCCATAATTTCCCAAGCCAAACAACTTCAGAGCTACACCTGTTCTTTTTGATAAAGCCAAATGAAGCAAGAGAGGAAGGTGAGCAGAGCTTACCAATGATCACCATCCGGTGCTGGTTAGAAGCCACTTTCCAGGAGAGGAACCAGTGAACAGCGAAGAGTTGCAGCCACACAGCTGAGATCAGAAAAGACCACATACACACTTGGAGACTGTGTCCCCATCCCCACTCAATTCATTCAAAAGGAATTCTATGAAGCAGCCTCTTGAGCCTCATTTTCTTTTTCCTAGAAATTTGAAAACATCTGTGACTAGAAAAGTAGTCCTAAGAATTACCACCATCGTTTCAGCCTACCACATCGCAGTTTGGCAGGCCAGGCTCTGCATTCCAAGGGGGCAAGTGCTGGTTGCTCCAGAGGCCTTGAGGAGAATCTAGGGGCAGACCAAGTGCGTGCTTCAGCTCCATGTTTCTCTTGCTTTAGCAGCAAAACGCAGCCTCTCATCTCTACCAAAGCAACACTGGACTCGTACCCCACCCCACCTCCCAAGTAGTTCAGGGGATGGGGTGGGATGTGCGAATAAAAATAAAGATGAGTCAAGACCAGCATCTTCAAATTAACAAACTGTAATTGTTTTCCCAAAGATACATTTTTTTCATACACATCCATCATACACTGTAACCAAAAAAAGCAGTGTACATGAAATAAGAGAAAATAAATTAAAAATCCATAGCATAGGTAAGGAGGCTCTAGTCTGGAGCACAGCTGAGTTTCCAGCAATATAAGGAGGCTCGAAAGTTTCTTTTATAAGAATGCCTGCTAGCAAGGGTTCCAGCAAGGTGGTTGGTTGGTCTGTAAGTCAGTCTTGAGTACTTGAAACAGTTCTGTGTTTGTTTTTTTTTTCCTTAGCGTTTAGAATAGCCATCATTGTCCTGCAATAGGCAGAGCTATCACGTCCAGGAAAAATGAGGGAGGGAACCACAGAGGCAGCGTGAGATCCAAATACAGCATTCAAAGGTAATTGGTCCAGTGGTGCCTGGGGAGGGAGGAAGGGTGATACTCCAGGGTTAGCCGTCTTCCTTTGGGGGTGTGTACCAGCCTGCAAAGAAATGGAACGGTCAGTGAGGTGGAGGTTCAGGCCCACCCTCCCTGTCCTGCCCCAATCCCTGACGATGTCTCCAGTGTCAGAGGTAAGAGGATGTTGGGGAGGGCTATGCTGTGTGGGGAGAGGTGTATGGGAAGCTGAGAGCCTGCATACCTGGAGATGAGAAAGAAAGGAGAATGATGTGCCCAACCTGAGATGATGGGGGAGTTAGATGAGCTGTTTCAAAAGGTGGTTAAGAAGTGGGTAGCACCAAGTTTATCAGTGATATGATCATTTTGGTGTGTTTCTGGAAGAGGTTGTGAACGTTAGCCACCGCCAGTCCCTCCTGGGAGAACTGGGGCAGGTGCTGTGCTAATCGGTGGTTAAATATCAGAAACCCAGAAGGGGTTCTTCCTCTGTGGCTGGAAGTGAAAACCTGGGCGTGGCAAGTGTCCGAATCTCCTGAGTCCTGGCTCCAGCCTCACCGTTTTTTTCGTGGATCTGCACCAAGGACTTGTAGGACTGCTGTGCTCTTGTCAGACTGTATTGAGACTGGGAGGAGGAAGCCACCACATCAGGCCATGGCCAGCTGTGGCCTTACTGCCCCTCACCTTCTGCAGGCTGTCACCCAGAGACCCCGGAGTCCCAGCTCCCAGCACTGTGGTCTAGTAAAACACTAAGTACCCTCCACCTGGGAGGTCCGTTGGGGGCACCCTCCCAAAAGTCCTAGGGGTGTCCCTAGGGGCCAAGGCACAGTTGTTCCAATGTGGGGACCCTAGGCCCTCTCATCCAATGCCACCAGTCCAGGGGCCTTATGCTCATTCCTCTAAAGAAGGCAGCCTTGGCCTGCTAGTGGCCCCAAGTGTACTTGGCTCCACCCAGCCCCACCGGCCCCAAGGCCAAGATCCTTACTTTGTTGGCTCCAAACTGCACTCGTGCTTTCCCCTTCACCAGTGTGGCACTGATCTGCATGATCACTGACTCTATGGAGTAGGCACTGCTCCAGCCCTGGGTGAAGGGAGGGACAAGGCAAGCAGGTCCGGATGGAGCTTCCAGAGAAGCCTCATGCTTGTCCTCTGGGCAGTCAGCTATGTCTATAGGAGGGCCCTTGCCCTTTGCCCCCAGCACTGCCACCACCTGTCTTTCTGGGTCAGTGGGTGCAGACCCAGCCCAGCAGAATGAAAGGGCCACATCATGCCTATCACCCAGCCTGCAGGGGTTTATGCTGTAAAGCTCAGCCAATCCCCAGCCAGGCTGGCCTGGCCAAGGAGAGGCAGGCTCACCTGTTTGGTGAGAAGTTCCATGCAGATGGCCCCTCCGCCCAGAACATACCTGCATGAGAAAGGTTAGTCAGCTGTGCCTGACAAAAGCTCCAAGTCTCTTCCCCGCCCTCTGCCAGAGGAGATGCCCTCTTCCGCATGCCAGCCACTCACCCTCCAGAGAGGACTGGAGACACAACCCTGACAAATGGTGGGTCAAAGGGAAAGTTATCCTGAGAGAGACAGAGAGATGACAATCAGGGGAGGGAGGCCAACATCCTCCACAGGACTGTCAGGCAGGCAGGGCAGCCTAGGCCAGAGGGAGACACTGGAAAGGAAAAGCCTTACTTTAAAGGAAAAGTTAAGTAGGATGAAGTCAGCTCCTTCTTTCTCTTTGAGGATCTGGAGATCGTTGTGCAAAGCGCTGTCCTGGTCAACCCTAAGAAGCAACAACCCTAGGCTCAGATGCCTGGTTCCAGCTCAGGAGCTTCATAAGGGCTCCCCTGCCCTGGCTGGCAGCAGACCACCAAACCACTGCCCACACCCACTCCGGGACCCTGAACGAAAATGCTGGATGGGGCTGCCTTGGAGATCCCACCACAGTAGCCCCACTCATACTCCCCCTCAACTTCCTCTCCAATCCCAGAGTCCCCACTCACTTGAGGAGTTTGACATTCCAATCATACAGACTGTCATTCACGAGTTCGACTGCATAGTTTCCTGGAAGGAGGGAAAAGATAGGTGTTAGTAGGATGGTCCAGGTGGTGAGAGTGGATTCTAATGCAGACCCCTTTCCCAGACTGAGAGAAAAAGATCAACAGCTGTAGGTTCACCACAGATGGACATGCAACCAAGCCACTGGCTTGAGGAGCTCCATTCTTGGCCTGAAAAGTTCATAAGCAGTCCCGGACCCCAGAACCTCTTGGGCCCCTTGCCACCATACCCTTCTTTATGGGTGACTCCTGTGCAGGCCCCTCTCTGGGGCAAACTCACCGCCTTTGAAACTCTGTGATCGGTATATATCCCTGAGCTCCTTCATCAGCCGGTCAGTGGCCTGCACCGAGCCAGACACTGCACCCTGTGAGGGACGGATGACATGAACATTCCTTGGTTGTGTGGTTTGTAAACACACGTTAGACCTTAGGGGCAGTCTGGCAGCTTGCCCAGGATTTAAGGAAGGATTAGGTACACCCCAAAAAAGGAGTCTGCTCTCCATACTGAGATACGATGGCCTACTACTTCCCAGCCATTTCCCACCAACCCCTTCACCAGCCTCTCTCTAGAAGGCACGTACATTTAAGTAATCTTGCCTCTGGTTCTTTTTAATTTTCTCTAGGATGGCCAAGTTTTCTTTTCCAATGCCATCATCTTCAGATTTCTTGCCCTCAGCTGGCTCTTCCTCTTTCATTTCATAGTGATCTAAGTCTTCTGTGTCCTGGGGGAGGTGTGGGGTGGGAGTGAAAAGAAAAGGAAAAAAACCACAGGTTAGAGAATGACCACCACCTTCCCAGTCCCATTTGGCAAAGAGCCAAAAGTTAAGGTGCAGCAGTCCATCCAGCAAGTCTTATTAACGTGACACGCTTCCCATTTTTAGAACAATTTCCAGCCCCATTCCCCCTACAGTCTAAAGGATTAAGGCAAATGTCTTCTTCAGCTCTCAAGCTACAGCAAGGACTTAGGAAGCGAGCAGAGCTGCAGCTGAGACTGAGGCAGGGACTTAGCCCTCTTGTTCCCTGGACTGACCCTGCTCCAACTGTTCCTAAAACTCCCTTGGCAGCAGAAACTCTGCCCTAATTCCTAGCAGAAATGACTTGGGCCTGACCCTGTGACTCAAAGCTCATGTTTCACCCGGGAGTTCTCAGGGCCCCAAGCCTAAAAGAGCAACCTGGATCATTAAATCTCCTCTCCTCGCTACAAATGGAGGGCATGAATCAGGTATGCGGAGGCACCCACTGCCAGATGGAAATGAGAAAGGATGTCCAGAGAGATACATGGAAGAGGTCAATAACAGAATTAGCCCCTTATTCATCCTGCTCTAAGTGAGCAAGCAGCTAGCTCACTGAGCACAGGGGAGGAGGAGACCCTATCTAGGGTTCAGCCCCTCAGCCAGATGTTGGGGGTGTGGCCCAGAGGGCTGTCCACTGTCTGGCAGTAGTAAATTTCATGTCATCAGCCCTTTGCCAGTCTCAAGAACCTTACAGGGTTATAGAACCTGGGATATTAACCTAATGTTAGGAAATAAAAGTAATCAGAGTGATCTCCCCATTTCTGGCAGGACATACCTAATTACATCAGCAGGTAACGTGTACTGAGTGTTTATTACATGCCAGGTTCTGTCCTAGGTGCCACACATACTAGCTCATTCCATTCTTACCACCACCACTCATTATTCTATCATTATCCATTTTACAGATGCGGAAGCTGAGTCTAGTGAGGTTGATTATCATGCCCAAAGTCACAGAACTCTTAGCAGAGCTAAGATTCAGTCAAGTTCTGTCTAGCTCTAAATCTCAAATTCCTAACCATGATTTTATATTCTGTACAAGCATGTTTTTAGAGAGTATATCAGATAGATTGTTTAGCACTTATGTATCGTCTAAAGTATTTTACATATAACACCTCATTTAATCTCAAAACCACCATACGTAGTAGGTATTATAATCCTACTTTATAGGTAAGACAACTAGGCCGGGCGCGGTGGCTCACGCCTGTAATCACAGCACTTTGGGAGGCCGAAGTGGGCGGATCACGAGGTCAGGAGATCAAGACCATCCTGGCTAACATGGTGAAATCCTGTCTCTACTAAAAATACAAAAAATTAGCCGGGCGTGGTGGCGGGCACCTATAGTCCCAGCTACTAGGGAGGCTGAGGCAGGAGAATGGCGTGAACCCGGGAGGTGGAGATTGCAGTGAGTGCAGATCACGACACTGCACTGCAGCCTGGGCGACAAAGCGAGACTGTCTCAAAAAAAAAAAAAAAAAAAAAAAAGAAAACTGTAGCTTAGTGAGATTACATAAAATTCCTCAATTAGGATAGCTAGGATACAAACACAGGTTTCTTGGACTCCAAAGTCATTTGAAATTAACTTACCCAGTATTTGGTTTGAACCATGTTGCACCTGTCTTCAGTGGTTGGATATGGGTGCCCTGTCTCCTCTACTACACTGGCTATTCCTCCGGGTCAGTAAATCTGTCTTTATTTCTTTCACATTTTTCTCCCTCCAGTTCTAGACTGGAGTTCTGGATATGGGTGATCAATTCCTTTGGTATTTTTCTCTCTCCAGTTCTAGACTGGAGTTCTGGATACGGGTGATCAATGCTGCTGACTGAAAGAGCTTCCAGCCAGTGCCACCTCAGGGGGCAAGCCTACCTCAGGCATCTCCTCATCTTCATCTTCTGAAGACACGTCTTCCTGTGTGCACTGCAGCGGGGAGGGGAAAGATGGAGATCAGAGCCCCAGTGGCTTGCTACAATGCAGCCTCCAACCTACTCCCCTGAGTCCCCAGGTCTGGAAGCTGTGTGCCTGCCTGTCATGTTGCCAGTCTCTCCACCAGCCAGATCTGAGTGGAAGCAACAGCCCAGGGAATGGCTTTGCTACCAGCCCATTATTTTTCGCCTATCACTGCCAAAGAATAAAAGAAAAGCAAAATGGCTGTCTCTGTCACCCACCTCATAAATCCCAGTTTAATTTTCCTAAGAACCCCTCCTTTACTTGATCTTCTTTAGACTGATATTGCATTCTTGGTTCTCACTAAGGGGCCTGGGTCCCCAGTGGCCACCAACTGTTATTGCTAAGATAATGGTAAAAATTCCCCTGCTCCCTTTCAACATTTGGGATGCTGCCCATGAGAGTGAGTTTGATATGAGAGATGAAGCTACCAGTGCCCCATTTAGCAAGAGAAGATTCCCATCTGGAGAAGAACAAGGGTGAGAGTCATAAGACATGTACGTTTTTGGGAGCTGGTGGGGATGGAGAAAAACTACTGCAGATTTGTCTCATTTATTTACTGAGTACTCTGTGGGGCAACTCTGCACAACAGGGCCCGAGGCTCCTCAGCTGCTCACCTGCTCTGCTGGCAAGGGTTGATCCAGCATCTCCACATCTGGATGCTGAGGGAGGTTATAGAGTTTACACAGGTCGGAGATGATCCTCTTCAGATGCTGCAATAGCTACAGGCAGGGGAGCACAGAGATATCAAATACTCCTTCCCCACTCCAATCTGGACAAGTACATGGATGAGCTCTTAGTTCAGGCCCCACACCAATACCTAGTTCTCTAAGCCTTATGGGCCATGTGGCGGTGGGAATGAGTCTCCTGATGGACCAGTCCCGGGGCCGGTGCAGGGTCTCCCTCTGGATTCGGTAAGCAACTCCCCTTGAGAGATCGTACCCTAAATGTTGAGCTGTGTACTGTCCACTTTTCAGGATCCCTTTCACAGGATGCTTTTGTGGCATGGGCCTCATAGGAACAAAATGCACCCCTACCCTGTGGCCCCCTCACCAGAGTATTCCCTTTCTTTATGTCCACCAGCCTCTCCAAGACAGCAGCCAAGTTAGGGTCATCAGACTCCACCGACCAGATGGGGGGCACAGCAGGATATGACTCCTGAAGGGAAAAGAGCAACAAGAGCAATCAAAATGGGTGACTCTGGGAAAAGCCAAATTTTGCCTGTCCTCTTCCCCCCAAGACTTCTAGCCCCTTTTCTTTCCACCCCCACCCCCTACACACACATAAAAGCCCAACTCAGGTCAGCATCTAACCAAGGAGCTTCACAACAAATTCTAAACTGGACGAAAAACAGTCCCTGGGATGACCCTTTCCAAGCAGCAGACTGGAACCTTTTCATTCTTTCCTCGAGAGTACAAACCAGGAAACCTAGCACAGCCAAACCTGGCTAACAGCGAAGGGGGAGTCCTCATCTCCTGCACTGCCTATACAAGTTCTAGACTTCAGGTTCTCCCTGGACCCAGAACAGAGTCCTCCAAGCTTGCTTTTCAAACTCCAGAATGGGCTGAGGAAGGGATCACCTCATCACAATGACACTGAAGTGAAAAAAGCAGAGTTCTGTAGGAAAGTATAAAAACTAGACTGTATCTCCAGAACCCAAGAGTAAAAGGGTACTGGCAAGAATCTACCCACACCGCTCCCAGAAGAGCCCCTCAAAGACCAATTCTCCCCACCTCTCCCTTGGGAACCTGCCACCTTCTCAGTCCAGGCGTGGGCTGTAGGGCTCCACATGGCAGGCTGGGAGAAAGCCTACGCTTCTGACATTCCCAGCATTCCTGAGCCACGGTGCCAAATGCAGCCTGACCAGACTCCCCCTCTGCCCAAACCAAGGGGGCTAGTTTAGGCCAAGTATCCTTTATAGCCATGGGGAGTCTGGCTGAGGACCCCCTAAATTTAACTTCCTGCCAGGGACAAAAGCAGTAAATGGCCTCTGGCAACAGAAAGAGCAGCTGGATGGGGGCAAACCTACCCTTAAGGAATTAGAAGCTTAATTCAGGAACAAAATTAACTCTTGAAGTTCCCACACAAGCCAGGGAAACCTTATCCACCTCCACTGGGTATCTTAGCATTGTCATGACTCTAATCCTCAATGCTGAAGGAAAAATAATTATCAAAGATGCCCAAGTCTTCACTTGACTAAGCCACTCCTAGTCCTTCAATTTTAAGTTTCTAGCAGGAAAAGAGAAAGGAAATGAAAGAGAAATGGGACATACGAGTTTTGGTGGGTCACCAATCAATCCAAACTCAGGCTTTACCTCACCAAACCTTAACCTGGTCTGATTGAGAAAACGGACAGAAAACACCATGTAAGTTGAATTCAGTCCCCCAAGTAGCAGAGAATTCACAACTCTGCCTTTCCCCAGGCTACTCCGATTAGGTCTGCCTGCTTGGATAAAGTACTGTCTGCTAGCATTTCAGCTACTGCTCCGGTAGAGAGAATACCATCACAGCAGGTAACACCAACCAATGTAAGTGCTATACCATGCAGTACCAGACATTCCTAAATTAGCAGAAGCCAATTCTCTATTCAAGGGATGTCTGAGGATAGATCAGGCAGGAGACATGTAAGGTGTATGCCTAGGATGGAATGACGCTCACAGGGGAGAAATGGAACTGTTACTGCCTATAATAAATGGGGGTAGCGCTGGCACATCACATCACTATCATTACCAGGAAAAGCAACAACCCAGGGCAAATGGACATATCCACAGGGAACAGGGAGGGGAGTGGCAGAACTGCTACCAGCTGAGGCAAAAAGAGGAGAGTTAGAGGTTACACCAGAAAGAGAGAATTAAAAGGAGAGAAGGAAGAGGAGTCAACGAATTGCAAACTATCACTTGGTGAAGTTGAGAGAGCAAGAGGGGCTGCCTGAGGGATACCTAGGCGGGGATCCCACAGGTGGCAACCTCCTAAGTCAGAGGTACTACTGAGAAGGGGGCATCACTGAAATGTGCAGAGGGTTTCAGGCCAGGTCTTTGCAGCTAGGATCAGTGCCGAGGCCTAATATCTTGAAATAAGAGTAAGGGGAAGAAAGGTGCATTCCTAGGTAGCAAGATAAAGTTGTGGAGGAGTAGCCAAAAAGAGCCAAAATCGTGAACCTTGGGATGGTGGGTGGGTTCGTGGAAACGGGTAGTCTAAGCGCCATATGTCGGGGTGTCCCTCACTATCGGGGTCAATGGTAGAGATTCTGGATGCACCGCATAACCTCTAGCAGCAGAAACAAATGTAACCTGGAGAGAAAGAGCTGAGCCCTAAGAGGGGCTTCGGCCTCCCAGGTCCTTCAAGAGCAAAAAGCTGGATGGAGTGATCCTGGGTCCCTGACAAGGGGCCCCCACAGAGAAGCACGAGAGGGGGTCCTCACCGTGATGTTGCAGTGGATGCGGACAGGATCCCCAGGCACCGACCCCCGTGGGGGGAGATGCGGTCCAGGCGCGGCCCCCGCCCCGGCCCCTCCGGCCCCAGCCAGCAGGAACTCGCAGCTCAGCTCGTCCAGGCAGGCGCTGGCAATGCGGAAGCGCTCGTGGCCGCGGTGGAAGATGGACTCGAGCAGCTTCAGCTCTCGCCTCAGGCAGGGCCCCGGCCCCGGGCCCCCCCCTGGGCCGCCCCCGGCCCCCGGCGCCGCCCCCTGGCCCCCCAGCTGCTGCCCCGGCCCCGGCTGCTGCTGCCCCTGCGGCTGCGGCTGCTGCATCCTCCGCTCCGCTCCGCTCCGGGGCCGGCGGGCCGGGAGCCTCCGGCCTCCGCTCCGGGCTCCGCCGCCGCCGCCGCCGCGGTCCGCACTTCCTGATCCCCCCTTCGCCAAGATGGCGCCGCCGCCACCTCCGGGACAGGCCCCCCCCTCCGCTCGCTGGCCCCCCCCCCAGCCGCCGGAAGCCGCGCGCCCCTCCTCCTCCTCCTCCTCCTGGGCGGCCCCGCCTCCGTCCCCCTCACGTGACTTCCCTGCTCTGGCCTCCTCCACGTGATCTCTCCGTCTTTCCCGCCCCCCTGTTCTCGCCTGCCACCCTCCACATGTGACCCGGGGTCTGGGGCTTGCCTCTGTGAGCGCCTCTGTGCGTGTTTGCGTACGTCGTGCGTGCTTGCGCGCGACGCCCCTTCTCCTGCGCTCCCCTCTCACGTGACCCGGCGCCGCGTGCTCCCAGGGGCTACCCGCGCAGGACGCTGTTTCCTGCCTCGGGCCCCGCTTCCCCCGCCCCCGAGCCGTGACGAGCGTGCCCGGCGCTCCATGGACAGAGAAGAAAGAAGTGCGGTCTTCGCCGTGCAGTCTTTATCCTGCGCCCCCATGCTGGTCTTCGGCGCAGGATACCGGAGCCTCTGGTCCCCGTGGGGGTGGGCATGCGGCGTCTTCAAACTGAGGGGTGTGTGGTCGGGGTAGAAGCCGGGGACCGGAATGCAAGTGGCGGGGATTCTTGTCCCAGCCCTTTCTCTGATGGCGTTTTGTGACCTTGGGTTAACCACTTTCCCGCCAAGTCTCAGTTTCCTCATCTGTACAGTGGCTCTCATGAGGATGATGCCTGTTTTTCCTATTCCCAGGGAGGGATTCGATGCGAGGACACCATAAAATGAGGAATGATAATAGATCACTGCTCGGTTATGTACAAGTGTTAGTATCTGGCCTTTCGCGCTTTTCAGACCCCATGGGTCTGGACGAGGTTGGGGGAAGGACAGCATGGGCTTCCTCTACGGAGTCATGGAAGGGTGCTGACTCGGGTGGACCCCATTACCCTTCCTAGGCCTAAATGGCTAACACCTTGTCGCAGTGGTCCTGGCAGTTGCCGGGAGTAGGTAGTGCCTCCGGACCCTCGCTAGGTGGCACCATCACAAAGGACAAAGCTGGCTGAAGCTACAGAAATCCCGAGCTGGCGTTCGTTTGCCAAGGGCAGGTGGTGTTAGCCTGTGGTAAGGCCTGGTCATTTCTGCTGGGCCAACTCAGCCCTTACACCAGCCGGATTGCCCGCTTTCTCTCCCACTTGGACTAAAATAAGCTAGCCTTTCCTGAAAGACTATTCAGTTGCCTCTGCAGAGGCCTCCTTTGGTCAAGTTGGGGTATGGATATTTGAAGATGATTACGGTTACAGTCTGCTCCTGGTCTTCCTGGGGCCATTTGTCTGGTTTGGGTAGCCTGAACAGTTCGTTACATGTTGACTTTGTGTCTGTGTGTGCAAGCTGAAAGCTTAAAAGCCTGTGGTAGGAATTCCTGTTTATTATTTCCTGAGCGAAGGTGTTTATATATATATATTTTTTAAGACAGGGTCTTGCTACCTCGCCCAGGCTGGAGTGCAGGGGCACAATCTCAGCTCACTGCAGGCTCGACCTCAAGGAGGCCTCAAGCTATCCTCCCACCTCAGCCTCCCAAGTAGCTGGGGTTACAGGTGCGTGCTACCACAGCTGGCTAATTTTTTTATTTTTTTGTAGAAAGGGGTCTTGGTATGTTGTCCAGGTTGGTCTCAAACTCCTGGGCTCAAGTGATCTGCCCATCTCAGCCTCCCAAAGTGCTGGGATTACAGAGGTGAGCCACTGTGCCCAGGTACAAATATTTTTAAATCTCCCAACAACATTGCAAGGTAAGTATTTTTACCCCTATTTACAACTGGGGGAAAGGAGTGACTCTGTAAGGAGATACAGCCTGTAAACAAGAGTTTCTAGGCCTGTCTCCAAAGTCCATGCCCTTGTACCCCACTCTGCCTTTTTTAGTGCGTTGAACCCCAGCTCTGCCAACTACTAATGATGTGACTGTGGGGAAATTACTTAGCTTGTTTGTGCCTCAGTTTTCACACCTGTAAAATGGAGATCATAATAGTACCGACTTGTTAGGAGGATTATGTAAGAACACACGTAAAGTGCATAAAATAGTGCCAGTGGTAAGAACTCAAACATTTTTTTAAAAATCGGGGCTCAGCATGGCTTGTGTCTAGTGAACGGAGAGAAGGGTAGGAGATAAGTCCAGTGAAGAAAGCAGGGGCTAGATTATGGAGACCACAGTACATTGGGTTTTATTCAAAGCACAATGGGAAACCCCTGGAGGATTTTAAGCAGGAAGTGGCATGAGCTGATTTAAAAATTTAAAAGATGGCCTCTTGTGGTGGCTCACGCTTGTAATCCCAGCGCTTTGGGAGGCCAAGGTGGGTGGATAACGAGGTCAGGAGATCGAGACCTTTCTGGCTGACACAATGAAATTCCGTCTCTTTTAAACAAAATACAAAAAATTAGCCGGGCCTGGTGGCGGGCACCTGTAGTCCAGCTACTCCAGAGGCTGAGGCAGGAGAATGGCGTTAACCTGGGAGGCGGAGCTTGCAGTGAGCCGAGATCGCGCCACTGCACCCCAGCCTGGGCGACAGAGGAAGACTCCGTCTTAAAAACAAAAACAAATTTAAAAGATCACTCTGGCTGTTCTGTGGAAAATGGATTGTAGGGATTTTTTTTTTTCCTCCAAAAAATCATTCATTACAGGTGCCCATATTTGGAGTAGAGTGAGCAACCTCCTTTGACTTGCTCCCTGAGCATAGAATTCTGTCATTGACTCAACAAATAATGTCCTGAGCACTTGGTCTTTGCAGGAATTGTAGAGGGCACTGGGGATGCAGAGATAAAGAAGACAATGGCTCCTGTGGGAACATGATTTGTGGTACAGAGGAGAGGCTCCTAACGTGGCAGCTCCTACTCATTACTTTTGTTGTATTCTTGCTCCAGCCCTTAGGAGCACGCAGTGATGGATGAAGTGAAGCCAGATCTCACTGACAGTAATACGGTATGATGAACACAATAATAGGGATCAAGAAGGGGAAGGGCCTTGAAGGGCAATATTATTAATAGGATTAACTCCCAAAAAAGAATTTGAAAGTAAGAGTTTCTTAGGTGGAATGGGAGAACATTCTGAAAGAACTAGGCCCTAAAGTAGAAGGAGGTTGGGAAGAAAGGTCTAAAACAAAGAAAGAATGACTTAAGAAGGGGGCTGGTATGGTGGCTCACGCCTGTAATCCCAACACTGGGAGGCAGCTGAGGTGGGCAGATCACATGAGGGCAGGAGTTTGAGACCAGCCTGGCCAACATGGTGAAACCCCATCTCTACTAAAAATACAACAATTAGCCGGGTGTGGTGGTGGGGCACCTGTAGTCTCAGCTACTCGGGAGTCTGAGGCTCGAAAAACACTTGAACGCAGGAGGCGGACGTTGCAGCGAGCCAAGGAGCCAAGATGGTGCCACTGCACTCCAGCCTGGGTGACAGTGAGACTCTGACTCAAAAAAAAAAAAAAAAAGGGAAAGGGACAAGGAGGGAGCTCAGCATAGGCAAGAGTTGTAGAGATGTTGGTCATTGGTGCTATCGCCTGAGATCCCAGGGTAACCCTGATAGCCTGGTAGTATCAATGCTTCTGAAAGTCAGTTTAGCAATTAATATTAAAAACACGTTAAAACTTTAACCCAGCAATTACACTTGGAAAGAAAAGGCACGTGCACAAATTTGCCTAAAAGGGAACGCTATGTACCTGTGAAAAATAGTTATCAAAAATACTTACTGGTATGGAGAGTTGTTTGAGAAATAGTAAATGAAAAAAGATTAGACTGAAGTGAGCTGAAGATTTAAAAAATTTTAAAAAGAAAGGTGGTTACAAAGCTATATTACAGTGTGCTCCATTAACAAAAATATGTGATTTAGTTATGTACCCATCAGAAATGCATATATAGTCATGTGTCAGTTAATGATGGGATACATTCTGAGAAATGTGTCTCGGTGGCTTTTTGTTGTGTAAGTGTCATAGAGTGTACTTACACAAACCTAGATGGTGTAGCCTACTACACACCTAGCCTATAGGGTTTAACGGCTCCTAGGCTACAAACCTGTATTGCATGTTATACTCTACTGAATACAGTCACTGCATCCCCCGTGCCAACTAGAATTCCTGCAATTACTGTAGGCAGTTGAAACACAATAATATGTATTCGTGTATCTATCTAAACACAGGAAAGGTACAGCAAAAATACAGTGTTATAATTTTATGGGGGCCACCTTTGTATATTGCAATCTGTTGTTGACTGAGAAGTCATTACATGGTACATGACTATATTTGTATATCAAAAGTATGAAAAAGAGTGTTCACAGCAGTATTATTTTTCAATAGCCCAAATAGGAAACAACCAAAATATCCATCAGTGGTGAAATTGATAAATGATAGTATATTCATACAATGGAATAGTCCACAGCAATGAAGGTGAATGAACTACAACTATATTCAGCAGTGTTCACGATTCTCACTGGCATGTTTTTAAAAAAAAAAACAGACACAGACCGGGCACGGTAGCTCACACCTGTAATCCCAGCACTTTGGAAGGCCGAGGCAGGTGGATCATCTGAGGTCAGGAGTTTGACACCAACCTGACCAACATGGTGAAACTCTGTCTCTACTAAAAATACAAAAAATTAGCCGGGTGTGGTGGCACATACCTGTAATCCCAGCTACTCAGGAGGCTGAGGCAGGAGAATTGCTTGAACCCAGGAGGTAAAGGTTGCAGTGAGCCCAGATCACGCCAGCCTGGGCAACAAGAGCAAAACGCCAAAAAAAAAAAAAAAATACACAAAAGATTATGATTCCATTTATAAAAAGTTCCGCAGGCAACGTTGATCTCTGCTATTAGAAGACAGGACAGTAGTTATTTATTTTACCTTCAGTCATTTTTTTAAAATTGTGGTAAAATACACATAAAATCTGCTACTTTAAGTATTTTAAAGTGTACAACTCAGTGGCATTCAGTGCATTCACAAATTGTATAACCATTACCACTGTCTAGTTCCAGGTAAGTAGTCACCACTCCCCCATTCCTCCCTCCTCCCAAAATGTTAGTTAGTTTTTTTTTTTTTGAGATGGAGTCTTGCTCTGTCGCCGAGGCTGGAGTGCAGTGGTGCGATCTTGGCTCACTGCAAGCTCCGCCTCCCGGGTTAACACCGTTCTCCTGCCTCAGCCTCCTGAGTAGCTGGGACTACAGGCGCCCGCCACCACGCCCAGCTAATTTTTTTGTATTTTTAGTAGAGACAGGGTTTCACTGTGTTAGCCAGGATGGTCTCGATCTCCTGACCTTGTGATCCACTGGCCTCGGCCTCGCAAAGTGCTGAGATTACAGGCGTGAGCCAGCGCGCCGGCCCCAAGGTGTTACTTTTGAAGAAGAGAGAATAACTACTGGAAGGGTCATCATGGGGACTTCTGGATATTAGTTATGTGTGTTCCAAAAAAAAATCTAAATGGTGGCTCTATGGCTGTGTTTATGTTGTGAAAAATTAGCTATACACTTGTATATACTTTGCTGTATGAATGTTACATCTAAGTACATATAGATAAATTTGGAGGGGGGGGTGTGTGTGTGAAATATTGCTAACACTGAATTTTTTTTTTTTTTTTTTTGAGACGGAGTCTCGCTGTGTCTCCCAGGCTGGAGTGCAGTGGCGTGATCTCGGCTCACTGCAAGCTCCGCCTCCCGGGTTCACGCCATTCTCCCGCCTCAGCCTCCCAAGTAGCTGAGACTACAGGCGCCCGCCACCACGCCCGGCTAGTTTTTTGTATTTTTAGTAGAGACGGGGTTTCACCATGTTAGCCAGGATAGTCTCGATCTCCTGACCTCGTGATCCACCCGCCTCGGCCTCCCAAAGTGCTGGGATTACAGGCTTGAGCCACCGCGTCCGGCCTAACACTGATTTTTTTTCCTGGGAGGTAGGAGGATGAATCCATTTTGTACTTACTATGTTTTGCTAACTTGTTTTCCAATTGGTATTCATGAATACATGTATTACTTTTGCAATAAAAATTTTAAAATTTAAAACATCATCTTTTTTTTTGAGACAGAGTTTCATTCTGTTGCCCAGGCTGGGAGTGCAGTGGTGCAGTCTTGGCTCACTGCAACCTCTGCCTCCCGGGTTCAAGCATTTCTTCCTGCCTCAGCCTCCCGAGTATCTGGGATTACAGGCGTGTGCCACCACACCAGGCTAATTTTTGTATTTTTCAGTAGAGGTTTCACAATGTTGGCCAGGCTGGTCTTGAATTTTTGATCTCAGGTGATCTGCCTCGGCCCCCTAAGTGCCAAGATTACAGGCGTGAGCTACCACACTCAGTCTAAAACACCTTAAATAAAGGACAATAACATTGATTTTAAGCCTTTTTTTTTCCGCCTTTTTTTTTTGAGACAGGGTCTGGCTCTGTTGCCCAGGCTGGATTCAGTGACACAATCTCGGCTCACTGCAATCACCTCCACCTCCAGGGCTCACAATATTCTCCCCCCTCAGCCTCCCAAGTAGCTGGGACTACAGGCACATGCCACCACACCTGGCTAATTGTTTTAATTTTTTTGTAGAAACAGGGTTTCACCATGTTGCCCATGCTGATCTTGAACTCTTGAGCTCAGTCCATCCACCTGCCTCGGCCTCCCAAAGTGCTGGGATTACAGGCGTGAGCCACCGCTTTCCACCAATTTTAAGCCTTTCAAGAGAAAACATTCGTTATCATCAGAGACAATGGGAGTGTCTCACCAAAACTTTGCCCAATTACTATTTAGCCTCAGGATTGATACTTCTACGTCTGTTCATCACCCTCTGTGGTTCTGGACCCATCCACTCTTCCTGGCTGCCTTTCTTCTTGGTGGGTATGGAAGGAGTATGTGTGGGAGAGATGAGGAAGGATGGTGTTTCAGCCCTGCTTAGACACATAGAGTGGTTGTGCTCAGAAGACTCACTCCTTGCCAGGCTGGAAGTAAACTTGAAGCAAAAGCTGGGGGATTTGAGAAGAGAAGGTAGACTGGCCTGGAAGTTGCATCAGGAAAAGCCAGAGGCTTTAAGCAAGCAAATAACCCCCCAGTTTCTCATCCCATAAACAAGCAACCATTACAGAAAGAGATTTTTGTAAGAGAAGACTTTCACAGCCTTCCTCAATCATTCTGCATCCGCCAAAACTCCCTGTATCTCTTAGGAGTTTGGAATACCTTTAAGTCATCCTTGTCTTAATGACTTTCTCACCTTTCAAATCTCAATTTTCATCTTCATCCCTTCTAGGTTCTTAGACACTATTAATCTCTTCTTCCTCTGTGCTTCCATAGCACTTTCTTTATATGTCTGTTGGAACAGCCACCACATTCTATAATAATTTGCTGCCAAACTCTGATCTCCTTAATAGCTGGGACTAAGTCTTTTTGATCACTGCATCCTCAACACATGTGGTCCACAACACACGTGGTTTCCTGGCAAACCACATATACCTAACAAATGTTGATCTAAATTGTTGAAGGAAGATCTTCCCACCCTCTAACTTTTCCTTAAGTAGAGAGACTACACACACATTCCTTCCCTTTTCCTTAAGGTTTTTCTTCAGTCCTTTTCTTTGTTCCAAGATTTAATTTTTTTTTTTTTTTTTTTTTGAGACGGAGTCTCGCTCTGTCGCCCAAGCTGGAGTGCAGTGGCCGGATCTCAGCTCACTGCAAGCTCCGCCGCCCGAGTTTACACCATTCTCCTGCCTCAGCCTCCCGAGTAGCTGGGACTACAGGCGCCTGCCACCTCGCCCGGCTAGTTTTTTGTATTTTTTAGTAGAGACGGGGTTTCACCGTGTTAGCCAGGATGGTCTTGATCTCCTGACCTCGTGATCCGCCCGTCTCGGCCTCCCAAAGTGCTGGGATTACAGGCTTGAGCCACCGCGCCCGGCCTTTTTTTTTTTTTTTTTTTTTTTTTGAGACGGAGTCTCGCTCTGTCACCCAGGCTGGAGTGCAGTGGCCGGATCTCAGCTCACTGCAAGCTCCGTCTCCCGGGTTCACGCCATTCTCCGGCCTCAGCCTCCCGACTAGCTGGGACTACAGGCGCCCGTCACCTCGCCCGGCTAGTTTTCTGTATTTGTTAATAGAGACGGGGTTTCACCGTGTTAGCCAGGATGGTCTCGATCTCCTGACCTCGTGATCCGCCCGTCTCAGCCTCCCAAAGTGCTGAGATTACAGGCTTGAGCCACCGCGCCCGGCCAATTTCTTTAATTCTTAAGAGATTATTGTGCGTTTACACATGTGCATGTCCCAGAGCAAGTGGTGCAGATTTACACCAATTTCCATGTGCATCATCGGGTCTGTAGTCCTCCTCCTTCAGTCCTCTTCTAGAACTTTTCTGCTTCTTCCCTTAATTCCATGACCTGGGGACATGGTAAATACATTGTTTTTAGCTGAGCTTTTATTTATTTGTTTAGTTTTTGAAATGGGGTCTTGCTTCATTGCCCAGGCTGGAGTGCAGTGGCGCCATCACACCCCAACCTGCAGCCCCGACCTCCCTGGCTTAAGTGATCTTCCTACCTCAGCTTCTCGAGTAGCTGGGACTATAGGCACACACCATCATGCCCGACTAATTTTTAAACTTTTTGTACACACATGATCCCATTATGTTGCCCAGGCTGGTTTCAAATGCCTGTGCTCAAGTGATCCTTCTGCCTCAGCCTTAGAAAGTGCTGAGATTATGGGCTTGAGTCACCTCTCCTGGCCCCTAGCTGAGCTTTTAGAAAGGAATTTTCCCTACACATTAAAAAGTGTCAGTCCAGTACTAGCCCTTTTCCTTACCTGTTGAGCCCTTAGGGACTGTGTTGATTCATAATCTAGAGAGGCAGCCACTGCCTCAGGTGGATTCATTTATTCATTGGATATGCTCTGGAAACATATAACAAGGTATCTGATCTAGTCCTTGGTCAAGCGCAGCTTCCTTGAGGAATTGACATTCCTGCCAAATGCTCAAAGTTAAGTAGAAGGTGATTAGGGGGAACATGGGTTATAAAAGAGCCAAAGAGAGCTATGCATTTAAGTCCCTGAAGTGTGGGGGATGGCACGGATAAAATGTTCAAGGATCCTGAAGACCTTGCCAATAGTAGGAATGTGGAGCTGCGGGTGGAGTGACCCAGATGAGGTTGAAGTAAGCAGGGACAGAACAGGACAGAGCCTTGCTGTATGATAAGTCTGCGTTAGGAATATTTTGGTTGAAAGTGACAACAAACCTACTGAAGGAAAAAGAGGGGCTAAGAGTTCAGGATTCTCATCCTTGGTCTCCTTTGTGTTAGCTTCTCTCTTGGTCAGGCCTCTGTGAGTGGTCTCTGATCTCCCTAGTCACACAGAAGCCAACAGCTAGAGTCAAGAGAAGGGGGTGAGGAAGGCCGATGAATAGGGGCTATTCATCTTTCCACTCTTACCCTCAAGGCTACCTTCTTTGCAGGCAAGTCTAGACCTCCTCAGGTAGACCCTCAGTGGGTGGGCAGGAAGCTTAGCCTTTTAGGGACTTCAGGGAAGTAGAGAAGGGGACAAGTGAGGGGATGCTGTTCCAAGACTCCAAAGCCGTTTGCTTTCTTAAAAATAGCAAACCCACAGCCCCCTATCTCTTTAAGGGCCTAAACGCATTTTCTCTGCTGTATCCTCAGCCTCCCTGGGGAGCAGGATCATTTGGGTTTGGTAAGCGAAAAAAGGAGGCCGAAAACTCCTCCTGTCTCCCGACCCTCGTTCTGGCCCTCTGGCCCTCAGTACTAAGCAGGCCCTGACCCACTCGTCTTACTCCTGCTGCCGCTTCCCGGCGGGTCTCGCGTCCCTTCTCCGACCACTCTGCAGGTCCTGCCCCAACTTTAGGACTTCAGAACTCTTCCACCGTGCCGTGGAGGGACAGCCCTTCTTCTACCTCACCCACACCCTACCCGGGCAGAACCAATCGAAGACTATCCCACCCAGGGACCCCCCTTTTTTTTCTGGGAACCAGCGTTTCCGCCTCCGGGGCGCAGACTCCTCCCCCTCACCGTCCCAATTGTATTCCCTGGAAGAGCAGCCGGAAAAGCCTCCGCCTGCTCAGACCGGGATAGGCGAGAAGCTGGTTTCTCCTCGCAGCCGGCTCCCTGAGCCTCAGGAACCACCGCGGCGCCCGGCACCACCTGGGCCCAGCTCCAGGCGGGCGCGGCTTCAGCACCACGGACAGCGCCCCGCCCGCGGCCCTCCCTCCGGCGGCGCGCTCCAGCCGGTGTAGGCGAGGTAGCGAGCTATGCCCGCGGCATGGCCCGGCGCTGCGGCCCCGTGGCGCTGCTCCTTGGCTTCGGCCTCCTCCGGCTGTGCTCAGGTAAGGGAAAGACGGGCACTGGCCAGGTTCTCCTACCCCAGCCAACGGCCCAAGACTCGGCGTGCTCTGACTCACCCCTGCTAGGCCGGAAGGTGGAAGAAGGGATTCCCTAGAGGTGGGAGAGTCTGCTGGGGGTTAGGGGAGAACCCCCGGGACTGCAGAGAGCACCTGGGAGGCTGCACTGGGAAGGAGACAATACTCGAAGGAGTAAGTGAAGCAAAAAAGAGATGGAAACCTGGCCAGCGGTGGTAGGGGTGGTGCAGGCACAGAGAGCAAGGAGGCAGGGGATCTCCCCAGGTGTTCTGGGGTGGCAGGAGGGCCGGCTCTGAGGGCGCTAAGATGCCATCTGACTTTTTGTGAATCATTATCTCAAGAAAGGTACCTGGTCCAGCACCCCTCCCTGGGCTCCCCATCGGTTCCCATCCCCCCCATTGGGCTCCAGATTCTCGTCACCCCACAGGGGCAGAGAAGGGGAGAGAAAGGAATGGACTTTTCAACCCTCTTGTAGGGTGGGACAGGAGACTTGGAAGGGAAGAAGCTCTGCCAGGCTGAGGACTAGGAAGGAACTCTGAGGGGATGGGAAGGGGTGTGTTCGCGCAGAGTTGCAGAGGGGGATGCACTGTGGGGAGGGCAGGCACGAAAGGAATGCACAACCGAATGAGCTTTCCACACCTACAGGCCACCTCTGGGGGTGGGCTGCTGTGTGTGTGAAACTTGGGGCTAGATATATGCCTGACCCACAGCTTAGGCAGCCCAGCTATTCCACTCCAACTCAGTGCCTTTAGGGAGAGGGGAGGATGGCGTCGTGACCACAGTCACGTGTCATTATGTGAGGCACATAATGCCATTTGCACATGTAAATGGTGAACGGGAACAGTTATTTGTGTCCCACCACACATATGCTTTCTCCTCAATCAGCAGGAGAAAGGGCGTGTGTTGTGGGACACAAATAACTGGGACAAATAACTGTTCCCTTTCACCGCCCTGCAAAACCTCCCTTGAGTCATAGGTATTTGCTGGGGAAACCATGGAAGCAGAAATCTCAAACTGCCCTCTGAGACTTTGGGGGAAGAGCTGGTCTCCACGAATCTGTGCAGAGTGGGTTCTTAGTCTCAAGGCATCTCTGTTGGGCTGTCTGGACTCCTTGGTCAGTGGTCTCAGAGAGGGGCTTTTCTACGAAGACGTTAATCTGGGGCTTCCCTGGGGGTAATCTAAGCATTTTGCAGTATCCTTAGGGACGTAGGCAGATACTGGTTGGGCCTGGATTGTTCCATTTGCCCGGGGAGGGTGGGATGTTGGATGGGTTCTCCTTGCCTGCTTACTTTCTTCCTGCCTTTCCCCTGCCCAGGGGTGTGGGGTACAGACACAGAGGAGCGGCTGGTGGAGCATCTCCTGGATCCTTCCCGCTACAACAAGCTTATCCGCCCAGCCACCAATGGCTCTGAGCTGGTCACAGTACAGCTCATGGTATCACTGGCCCAGCTCATCAGTGTGGTGAGTGGGGGTCCCAGACTCTCTGCCCAGCTACTGAAGTCAGCCCCGCCAAAATGTGTTAATGCTGGTGTGCTTCCTCCTCTGGTGTTTCCAAGGCTTGGGGAGGTGTGAGAGGGACCCTGGGTGGTGGCAGTGAGCCCACAGGCTGAGGGGCCTTCTCGGCAGCCTCTCTTCCTCCCTGCAGCATGAGCGGGAGCAGATCATGACCACCAATGTCTGGCTGACCCAGGTAAGCATAAGTGCTCTCTTCTACCCACACCCCTGGCCTTCTGTCTCCTCCTTTTCCCCCATGTGCTTTTTTCTTTCTTAATCTCTCAAAAGAGGCAGAAAGGTATAGAGTTTGGAGTCCTAAATAATTGGATTTGAATCATGGCACTCACCAGCTTTGTGACTTTAAACATATTAAACTCTCCAAGATTCATTTTCTCATTTGTAAATGTAGATTCTAATACTGTACTTTGGCCTAGCTGTGCAAATTAAATGAGAAAGTACCATATGAGCTACACTTGATGGGCAGAGAAGTCACTGTGGGGAAGAGGCTGGCTTTTAAAAGCTCCCTCAAGCCATATGGGCCCCCTCTAGTTCATTTCCTTAACCTTGAGCCCCTCCCAGGGCAGAAGTTGGTACTGCCTCCCTCTCTCATTTCCCAGGAGTGGGAAGATTATCGCCTCACCTGGAAACCTGAAGAGTTTGACAATATGAAGAAAGTTCGGCTCCCTTCCAAACACATCTGGCTCCCAGATGTGGTCCTGTACAACAAGTAGGAGCAATGGGAAGGTTGGGGGAGAGATTGGAGGGCTCAGGGAGGGAAGGGGTTATGGGGAAAATAAGAGAAATTAACTTATGCTGTGGGAGGGGAGGGACTTGTAATAGATATACAGTCACTACCTAGACAGACAGACCCAGACCAGTGAGGTACAGTGTGGACAGCCAAGGTGACCTGGGCAGTGACCAGCCCACTCCCAGCCAGTTAGGACTCCCAGTATGTATTTGATGATGTGGTAGGGATACAAACAAGTATTGACAGCCCCCAGTGCCTCAACTGATTCAGTAACAGGCTTTCCTGGAAGCCTGGGAAGGATCAAAGAACTTTAATGTCCCAGTTTCTCCTCCAGGTTCTATCCTGTCTCCTGCAATAATCCATCTCATCTCTAAGGTGCAAAGCCACCTTCCTCAACTGATGGGACCATGCCCTGTCCCCTTCCATTGCTTGGGGCTCCTCACACTGGCCTCCTGGCTCCCCCAACTTCTCCCCCCTCATGAAGATCAACCAGCTTATACAATATGTGACAAGTAGCAGACGTGTCCCCTCCATCCACCCACCACCCCCTTCTACCTGCGAGGTGTCACACAGGCCTTCTGACCAGGACACTTCTTCTAGTTACTAACCACCACCCCCCATATCCCCTTCTTGCTCAATTTCTGCTCCACCTCTCTATACTCCTGGAGGTTACTCTCAGACCTAGGTGTCCCTTCCCCATGTCTCCCTCTGGTTTTGCTCTCCTCCAACTAGGGGCTGGGTTGATGGGTAGGGAGGAAGGAATGCTTAGGCCAGGGCTGACTGTGCCCATCCCTTGGCAGTGCTGACGGCATGTACGAGGTCTCCTTCTATTCCAATGCCGTGGTCTCCTATGACGGCAGCATCTTCTGGTTGCCGCCTGCCATCTACAAGAGCGCATGCAAGATTGAAGTAAAGCACTTCCCATTTGACCAGCAGAACTGCACCATGAAGTTCCGTTCGTGGACCTACGACCGCACGGAGATCGACCTGGTGCTGAAGAGTGACGTGGCCAGCCTGGACGACTTCACACCTAGTGGTGAGTGGGACATCGTGGCGCTGCCGGGCCGGCGCAATGAGAACCCCGACGACTCCACGTACGTGGACATCACGTATGACTTCATCATTCGCCGCAAGCCGCTCTTCTACACCATCAACCTCATCATCCCCTGTGTGCTCATCACCTCACTAGCCATCCTTGTCTTCTACCTGCCATCCGACTGCGGCGAGAAGATGACGTTGTGCATCTCAGTGCTGCTGGCGCTCACGGTCTTCCTGCTGCTCATCTCCAAGATCGTGCCTCCCACCTCCCTCGACGTGCCGCTCGTCGGCAAGTACCTCATGTTCACCATGGTGCTTGTCACCTTCTCCATCGTCACCAGCGTGTGTGTGCTCAACGTGCACCATCGCTCGCCCACCACGCACACCATGGCGCCCTGGGTGAAGGTTGTCTTCCTGGAGAAGCTGCCCGCGCTGCTCTTCATGCAGCAGCCACGCCACCATTGCGCCCGCCAGCGCCTGCGCTTGCGGAGACGTCAGCGTGAGCGCGAGGGCGCCGGAGCTCTCCTCTTCCGCGAAGCCCCTGGGGCCGACTCCTGCACGTGCTTCGTCAACCACGCGTCCGTGCAGGGCTTGGCTGGGGCCTTCCGGGCTGAGCCTGCACCGGTGGCGGGCCCGGGGCGCTCAGGGGAGCCGTGTGGCTGTGGCCTCCGGGAGGCGGTGGACGGCGTGCGCTTCATCGCAGACCACATGCGGAGCGAGGACGACGACCAGAGCGTGAGTGCCGCAGGCTGGGACCCCAGGCGTGAGATACAGGGTCTGCCAGGGCCCGGGTGTTTGGAAAGCAGCGGCGTTCTGTAGACATGCAGACCTCGTAGGAGTGCAGGAAAGGGAAATGTGAGTCAGGCCTGTGTTGCGGGTCTGGGCGCTGGCTAGGGCCCTTCTGGGTTGGCTTCCGGGAGATGGTGCGGCCTAAATTGGGGTTGGTGGAGGATGACCTTGCTGCTTCCTGAGGGCTAGCTCCCAGGGCAGAATCCCTGAGCTGGGCATCGTTATATGGGTAGGGAGGCCTGAAACATGAGGAGGCCCTTTAGGGTTGGCAGCCAGCCTGTGGCCGTGTCCCCGAGAGTCCCTCACTTATGCTTGCATGCCCACATCCAAGTTGTTAACCTGCAGTTCTTAGCACCAGTGGAGATGAGTCCTTTGTGCACCCCAGGGCAGGAGGGGGCAAAATTGAGGACAGTAGGAGTTGTGTGTGTTGGGGGAGGGGTGGCGTTGGTGGCGGGGTTAGAGATTCCTGGAGCCTGCTTGTGACGGAGGATGGAGTCCCAAATCAATATCCCTGCTCTTCTGAGTCCCAGGGGATGGCCTCCTGAAATATTTATGGAGATTGGGGTGGGTGAAGGAGAAGGCTCCTTGGCCCCTTCCCCAGGCTTTCTGCACACCCGGTTTTTGACTTCTTCTACAGCGTTCCCTAAGAGCTTCCTTGAGACTGAACCAAGAGTTGAGGGGAGATATGATAGGTTGACATCCACCCCCGCCCCCTGCACTTTGGGCAGGGGCCAGACCCACCCTGTGGTCAGTCTCTGGCTACCTGGCTGGTTCCAGGCTGAGACTCAGCTGTTGCCATGGTGACTGGCCAGGTTTCCTCTGGGACAGCTGCCATTTCGGCTGGGGGATGAGGAAGGGCATTGCGGTGTGGGCCTCAGAGATCTGTTTCCCTGGACAGCAGGAGATGGGTTGGAGCTGAAGCTTGGGCCAGGGAACATCTTACAATCTTGATGGAAGAAGAGGGAGGCAAACACTAGAGGTGATGGGGTGGGAACCTTAGAGCCAGCTGAGGCCAAGTGGAGATGCTGGGATTCAGGGAGTCAGCAGGCTGCGGTCACCGCCTCCACCTCTCCTGCTGCAGTCACGCATGTATTGTGCATTTATTGAGCTAGGTGCTGAGGATGTGGTGACCTACTTGGATGCTTCACAGGCACCTCAAACTCAACATGCTCAAAACCGAGTATTTGGTCTACATCCTAACCACCAACTTGCTCCTCCACCAGTTTTTAGCACACGGCGTCACCATTCACTCAATGGCTCAGACCGAAAACTCGGAGTGATCTTTGACCCTGTCCTTTCTCACCTCCCTCTCTGTCCAAGTCATCAGAAGTCTTGTCCTGTCACAACCCCAAAGTAATTCTCAGCTTCATCCACTTTTCAGCATCATCAGCTCTTGCCTGGTCTAGGGCAAGAGTCTCCTAATAGTCTCCCTGTTTCAGTTCCTGTGCTCCTGCATCCAAACAATGTCGCCCTCTCAGCTCATGCCTTTCCCTCCTTGCCCAGGTCACTGGTCACTGACTTATCTTTTATTTGTTTGTTTATTTATTTAATTGATATGACGTTTCGCTTTTATTGCCCAGGCTGGAGTGCAATGGTATGACCTCGGCTCACTGCGACCTCTGCCTCCTGGGTTCAAGTGATTCTCCTGCCTCAGCCTCCAGAGTAGCTGGGATTACAGGTTCCCGCCACCACGCCCAGCTAATTTTTTTGTATTTTTAGTAGAGATGGGTTTTACCATGTTGGTCAGGCTGGTCTCGAACCCCTGACCTCAGGTGATCCACCTGCCTCAGCCTCCCAAGGTGGAGGGATTACAGGCATGAGCCACTGCACCCGGCCTGGCTTATCTTGTCTTAAGCAAACCAAGCTCTTTTGTGGCCTCAGGACCTTTGCATGCATCGGTCCCTCTGCCTGAGATGCCCTGTTTTTTTCTTTTAAAAAAATTATTACAATTATTAACTTTCACTCTACTATTTGAGAGTAAATTGTAGACACTGTGACCCTTTATCCCAAATAATTCGGTGTGTCTCTCCTAAGAACAGGGGCACTCTCTTGCATAACCCAGGTTCGGTCATCAACTTCTGGAAATTTAGCATTGATGTCTTTATCTCATATAAATTCCACATTTAAATTTTCCCAATTGTCCCAGTGATGTCCTTTGTAGCATCACCCCCCACCCTTGTCCTAATCCAGGGTCTCAAATTACATTTAGTTGTTGTGTCTCTAGTTTCCTTCAATCTGGAACAGTTCCTCACCTCTGTCTTTATGGCATAAACGTTTTTAAAGGGTCCAGGCGGGCTGAATGTCCCTCCGTTTGGGTTTGTCTGATTGTTTCTTTATTCAACTTTTTCCTCATGCAGCTGGTTCTCTCTCACTCATCAGACCTTGGTTTAAATCTCAACTCCTCAAAAAGGCATTCCCAGACCACACTCTAAATGATACCTCCTCCTCTTCTTCATCTCAGTCCTTTGTTTGCCAGTGTGGAATTTTTAAATTTGTGCTTATTTTTGCTCCGCCTCCCTCAGTAGACTGGAAACCACTGGATGCGTTTCTGTTGTTCATTCGCATCCCCAGTGTGTAGCATGGTGCCAGGTATATAACAGGCACAGTTGCCACTCGAATGAGTTCTTCAGCTGCTGACTAAATAAAGATGTTCAGTGGCTGTCTCCCCACCCCGAGCTGGCCGGGCTCCAGATGAACACGTGCACAAAGGCCCAGACTCAGGCAGGAATGGAGCAGCTCTGAGGAGACGCTGGCCCTTTGTGCAAGCCTTGTGACTGGCTCTCAAACTCACAGACAGGATTACATTTTTGACTGATTTGTTCACATCTGGGACCTGGTCCTCACCCTCTGGGGACTGTGGTGTGGTTGGATGGGGCTCAATGTGTGATTGTAAAAGGAGCCAGGCCGGCTGAGGCAGCCATTTACTCACTAAAGCATCAGCCATTTACTCAACACTCTGTTCCAGATGCTGAGATGACAAAGATGAATCAGGGTCCTTGTTGTTTGGGGACTTGTAGCTTAGTAGGGGGACAGGCATGCAAATTGAAACAATACAGTACAGTAAATATACTGTGATGGAGACATGTACACAGTGCAGAGGGAACCCAGAGCAGCCAGTAGTTCATGCTGATCTGGGGGTCGAGGCAGCCTTCAGAGAAGGTGATGTTTGATTTGGGCTTTGAAGGATATGTAGGAGGATACCAGGTAGAGAAAGGGAGCTCAGGAGTTCCAGACATAAACGAAACCCAAAGACACAGAGACCTGGGAGGACACACTGGGGTTTGGTAGGGCTATGTTATGCGGTGGGAGGAGGAGGAGATAGGCTCATATTTGTCATGGGTGGGTCTTGATTCCAGACTTGGGAGTTTGCATGGGCCCTGAAGGCAGTGGGGCCACTGGAGGCTTTTACTAAGATCAGAGCCATGCTTCAGCAAGGTCATTCTGGGATCATGGCAGGAGAGCAGTGGGGTGTGTGTCTGCGTGGTGGGACCCGTTTATACATGTTTGCCTCCCATCCTGCATCACGTGACCTGGGCCTCCTCCGTCTCCTCCATCCAGGTGAGTGAGGACTGGAAGTACGTCGCCATGGTGATCGACCGCCTCTTCCTCTGGATCTTTGTCTTTGTTTGTGTCTTTGGCACCATTGGCATGTTCCTGCAGCCTCTCTTCCAGAACTACACCACCACCACCTTCCTCCACTCAGACCACTCAGCCCCCAGCTCCAAGTGAGGCCCTTCCTCTTCTCCATGCTCCTTCACCCCGCCACCCTCTGCTGCACAGTAGTGTTGGGTGGAGGACGGACGAGTGAGCTATCAAGAAGAGGGGTGCCGCCCCCACAGATCTATCCTTTTGCTTCATCTGGAGCCCCTCCTCCCTCACACCTCCATCCACACACAGCAGCTCCAACCTGGAGGCTGGACCAGCTGCTTTCTGTTTTGGCTGCTCTCCTCCTCTTGTACCAGCCCAGGCAATAGTGTTGATGAGGGAGCAAGGCTGCTGAGAAGTGGAAGACAGGGATAGCAGAGCCATCTACCTTGAGGACAGAGTGATGGGCAAGGGGCCAGGAAGGGGACAGGATCGTCTGCTGCCTCCGAGTCATGGGAGAAGAGGAGTATAGGACAAGGGGTGGAAGGGCAGGAGCTCAGACCGCACCAGGCTGGCCTGACACAATGGTAGCTCTGAAGGGAGGGGAAGAGGAGAGAGGCCTGAGTGTGACCTGAAACCTGCCACTACTTGAGTGGACAGCAGCTGGACTGGGTGGGCCCCATAGTGGTCAGCTGTTCCTGCCCAGTAGGTTTAGCCTGGCCCCACTGTCACAGACCCCTGGGGGAGGCTTCCAGATCAGTCCCACAGCCCCTTGCTTCTAAGGGGTCCAGATACCTGCCCCAGATTCTCTTTCCCCACTGAAGAATTCTGCGCCCTCTGGACTTCCCTCTCCTTCCTTCCTTGTTCAGGCTCAAGGTGTGGTGGGCAAGGCTGAGTATTAGGGGAGCTTCTAAGTTCTGAATCTTTGGGTGACCTGCTTGGAGTCTCAGGTCCAAATACTTGAACTCTGTGAGAAGTCTAAGTTCATGGGCTTTTGGAACTGGAAGAACTTTGTACAGCCATGGATTCCAACATGAGCCATGTTGCAGATGAAGAAACTGACCCACACGGTGATTCAAGCCCAGGTGGGTCTCTGACTCTTCCTCCCTGCCCTGAGATCCATCTGTCGAGTGCCCTGTTTTTTCCCCACTTTGAACTGACTGGTTACTCGAAGGAAGTGAACTAAGGATGTTAGCTTTAAGCCAGCCCAGCCTCTTTGCCCACAGCAGAACTGAGGTGAATAGCTGGAACTCTGCTACATCCGTGCTGCTCCAGTCTGTTCTGCTCGTGGCTCCATCCTTCTGGCTGTTACTCTTCCTCTTCCCCCTCCCAACCAAACCTGAGCAGCTTTGAAGCAGGACTCGGGAAGGACAGGGCTGCTGCTGTCAGTGACACCTCAGAAAGCATAGCCTTGGCTTCCTGTCCCTGGAAGCTCTACCCTGACTCTGCTCCCAGAGGCCGGCTGGAGGCCACCTGGCTGGGTAGCCCAGGGAACAGACCTCTTAAGGGATCTCCTGCTTGCTTGTGTTCCCAGCCTGGGCTCAATGCTGGGCCAGCAGATGGTGGGTTACAGAGGGGTCAGCCTGCCAAATGCACCTGAGGGACCTGACCTAAGTCATTTTGTCCCTAGAGCCCAGCTGGGACTCCTGCTTCTCTAGGCAGGGCAGAGGAGGGAGGAGACACAGCACAGGAATAGAGCATGGGGCAGTGACCCCAGAGTCTGGATTCAAGTTCCAGCCCTGCTAATAACTCATGTGAGCCAGCTCGAGCAAGTCCCTTCACCTTGCTAGAGCTCAGCTTCCTGGCCTATAAAATGTGGGTGGTAATGCCCTCTTCCTGGGGTTGTTGTGAGGATGAGGCAGTGCTTGTGAAAAAGCCTAGTGCTGTACCTGGCACAGAGTAGATGCTTCATGACTGTTGAGTCCGAGACGCAACTGGAGCTGGTGAGAATGGGGTCCCGACTGTCATGCCAGCCTCCCTCCCAGGCCCACTCTTCCCCCATCTCTTCCCTGAGGAAACCAAGTCTCCCTTATCAGGAAGAGCTGGGGGAAGAGCTGGGAGGAACATTACAGGAACACCAGAGGGAGTCTAGCAGGTGGGCGGGCTTCTCTCTGGAGCCCCCTCAGCAGTTTCATTCCATTCCTGGGCTGAACCCTTGCTCTGCCCCTACCTCCCTTCTGGGGCAGGTGTGCGCTCAGGGACCCTGGGCTCTAGTCCTGGACTGGCTGTGCAGCGCCTCCTGACACAGGTGTGCGCTCAGGGCCCTCAGGCTCCAGTCCTCTACTGGCTGTGGAAGCACATCACTGGGACAGGAAGCCAGTGGCTGAGGAGACAGGCCTCAGCACATCTCCTCGTCTGTCAGGAGGGGCTCACGGACACCTTTTCTTGGTAGCAAGGAGAGTGTCTCTGCACTATGGAAACTTCCCCTCTTCTAGAGCAGATTGGGAGCTGCCTGTATTATGCCTGAACGCTCCTCAAACTCATGGTCCTGGGGAAGGCGTCTTGGAACCAGAAGCAGCAACAGGACAGGAGCCTCCCTCTGAAGGGTAGGATGCCAGCCTGAGGCCCTCCCTCTTGGCTCTCCCAGGGCCTGGGCTAGCCGGAGGCCCCAGCAGCTGCTGCTGTGGCCGTGCTTACTTTTAGTATTTCCCATATGTGGCTGTTGTCCAAGTTAAGTCACCAAATGGTGCTAGAGGGGATGGCAGAGAGCAGCTTATCCAGCTCCTCTCCATGACCCGGTTAACACACAAGGAAACAGAGGCCTAGAGGTTGTCTACTGTTTGACCTCTTATAAGAGCCAGCCGTGCTGCATCTACAAAATGAAGAAGGCAGAGCTAGCTGAGGTCTTCAGCAAGGAAGAAAGGGGTCAGTGTATATGAGAGGGTTACCTGGGCAGTGTCATTCTCTCCATCTCTGTATGCAGCCCTTTGGGGACCATCACAGTAAGGAAGAGGTGAGGGCAGAGGTGGAGGCTCCACTGCCCAGGCAGGGTGTTACCATGTGGTGGGACAGAGTGTGAACCCTCAAGTGCACTGGGAAGCTTTGGGGAACCACAGTCTCTTCCACTCTTGGATCCTGTGTCCTCTTCTCTTGATGTCAGGGAAGCCCCTATGCCTCCTTCCCGTGGTGGGGCTATCTCTGCAGAGAATCAGGTGCCCAAGCTGGGCAAGGACTGGAGGAAGCTCCAGATCCGGAGGAGGCAGAGACTGGATGGAGACCTGCAGCAAGGGTTTGGGAGGGGGAAGTGAGGAAACAGGTTGAGATGATCTCCATCAGAGCTGGCAAGGCCGCAGGTGATCTAAGAACTATTTTTGTCTAAAAAGAAGGCGCGCACAGGCTCTCTGCTTTTGACAGGTGGCGTTGCAGTGGGAGGAAGGCAGCTTCCTGGCAGTGAGGTAGAAATACTGTAACAGCTGGTACCAAGTTACTGAAAATTTAAAAGCAAACAAGACACAGCAGCCCCCAGGTGGTGTGTTCTGCTGAGGAAGGCTATGGCAGAGGAAGAGCAAGACCGTTTCCCCCTCAGGGAGGGCTCTTTGGGTGGTTTGGAGACCCTGGGCTGTTTGTATCCCGGTATTAGCTCCCGTTACTAAGGGTCTGCTCTGCACCAGGTCCTCAGCGTGTGCTGTCTTTATTCCTCACAATCCTGTGGGAAGGGGCCTCCACCTACATAACAGAAATGCGGCTCAGAGAGACCAAGTGACAGCTAGTGAGTAGTGCTGGGCCTGAACCCCAAGTGCCAGGCCTGAACCCCAAAGTTCATACTCTTGCTGTAGCCGCTGAGGCAGGCAGAAGAGCTCCTCGGGAGGAAAGTGAGGGGCATTCAGGGCCTTCTCTGAATCACTCTCCAAGCCAGAGTAGAACCCCGGTTCCAGTTGTCCTCCTCTGTTTCTGGGCAGAGTCAGGCAGGTGTCATAGCATCCCTCCCGGCCCCACCAGTGCTGGCCAGACTCCCATTCACCGACCTTGACTAGACAGAGAACAGCCACCTTTTAGTATTCATCCCAACAGGTCGAGACGGTCAGTGTGATGGCCACGCGGTTCCTAAGGGACCATAGGTCTAGGAATTATTAGGACACTCACTCAGCCACCCTCGATGCCCCCATCTGCCCCACACTGCCATTCATCTCCCCCATCTGCCATTCATCTCCCCCATCTGCACTCCTAGAGTATTGGCACTGGTCTAGCCCACTCCAGGTCAGACTCATTAGGAACTCAAGATTCTCGTAAAGAAAGTTGTTTCCAAATTTGTCTTGTCACTCTATTTGGGGGTTGGGAGAGAGCCCGCGGGGGCCAGTGTTGGCCAATACAGGAAAAAGGGAGAATGCTAGAGAAACTGGACTCATGAGAGGTTAAATACATCACAAGAATCCAAAGAAAAGGTGAGTGGTGACAATCTGCTGAATCACTGTGATTTGTTGCTTTACAAATTCACTCATCAGATGTAAAAGAAATGGCCAAACGACTGGGCCTGGAGTAGGCGGAGTCCTTTGTAAAGGACTGGACGGAGGCGAGGACCACTCTCCTGGAGGTGGGGATGGCTGGGGTTTCCTCTCACAGTCCCTGTGCTCTGGGAAGTTAAGGCTGCAGGTTGCATAAGACCAGACCTGCAGACCTGGGCCTACATCCTGGAAACAGTATGAAATTGTGAGTCCCCTCAATGAAATGCAGGGTGGACAGCAACTGAAATGAGCTGAAGAAACTCCCTCTTGCACTCCCACAGGGCAGCCCTACTTCCCAGCCCACTCAGGGAGCGCTGTGGGAGGACAGTGTTGTTCCCTCCGGAGACAAAGTGGCTGGGCACTTGCCTCAGGCTTTAAGGAAACTGTCCACTTTCTAAAAGACCTGGCACTACATTTCCCTCCATGTGGAACAGAAGCAGTCTGAGAACAGAGAGGACAGAGGCACTCGAGGTTCCTGGTACATCATAGCAGGCGGAGACAACGGCCTTCACTGTCCTTCAATTTAAAACTGTTGGCCAGGTGCGGTGGCTCACGCCTGTAATCCCAGCACTTTGGGAGGCTGAGGCAGGTGGATTACCTGAGGTCAGGAGTTTGAGACTGGCCTGGCCAACATGGTATACAAAACATTAGCTGTGTGTGGTGGAGGCACATGCCTGTAATCCCAGCTACTTGGGAGGCTGAGGCAGAATTGCTTTAACCCAGGCAGAGGTTGCAGTGAGCCAAGATCACACCATTGCACTCCAGCCTGGGCAATGAAAGCGAAACTTCGTCTTAAACAAAACAAAACAAAACAAAAAACCAACTGTTCAGCTCACCCAGCAATGTAATCTCAGTAGACGATGAAGAACCCCTGTGGTGGTGTGACGTTCTGGTCCTCAAGAAATATGCCCACAAACAACATGTCACTGGCCCTTCTAGCCTCAGTTGTTCCTTCTGTGTAATGGATGAGGCAGGTTTCATTGGGATTTAGCCTGTTAGGTACTTTAGATCCTCTGGTATGGTATTTTTAAAAGGTCCAGGATGAGTCTTCTAGAAATTCTGATGTAAGTTACATGTGAAAAAAGGTACATTCTCTCTGAAATTCAAGATGGAGAGAGAATTTGGATGTCATCTATGATGTAAAAACAAAATGTCTATCTCCTAAAACTACAGCCAAGGCTGTCCTGGTCCTGGCTGCAACTTTACTCCAAATATGGACATTCCTGGAAGTCAAACAGCTGGGAGTAGTGGGGTTTGGAGGTAGAAAACACCCCTGAAGGAGAGCTGGAATTATGTTAACAGGTGATTCTCTCTCAAGGGATGTTTTCCTGCTCTGGGCCTTGAAATCTTGCATCTCAAGTCCCGTGGGACACGATATTTAATAGTGGGCTCTGACTGGGTGCGGTGGCTCACACCTGTAATCCCAGCACTTTGGGAGGCCGAGCTGGGCAGATCATGAGGTCAGGAGATCGAGACCATCCTGGCTAACAGGGAAACCCCGTCTCTACTAAAAATACAAAAAAATTTTTAGCTGGGCGTGGGGGCGGGCGCCTGTAGTCCCAGCTACTCAGGAGGCTGAGGCAGGAGAATGGCGTGAACCCAGGAGGCGGAGCTTGCAGTGAGCTGAGATCCTGCCACTGCACTCCAGTCTGGACGACAGAGCAATACTCCATCTCTAAATAACTAAATAAATAGTGGGCTCTGCTGGGGAAGTTAATCAAAAGGTGCCTGATGAACCCCACCCCACCCAGACGCAAACTTATCCACAAAGGGAGGTTCTTTGAAACTGCTCCTTTCCAAAGGTTGAGGGACAGCCCTGTCCCCAACAGGTTCATGTCAGATGCCACTGGTGCTGTTATCAGAAACCCCAGGGCCACAGGTCCCCCTGTTCCCATTTTCACCTCCCCCAAGAAACCAGGACTTAAAACTTTCTAAGAATTCAGATTCTTGGGTTTTTTTTTATTTATGAGGAATGTATATTGTTAAGTCACTGTTATCAAGGGACACATAAAAGCGGAATCATAAAACTGGACTGCAGCCATTTTCACGGTACCCAAGTCTATGCTTGGGGTCTTCCTGACTCTGTTCTTGGAGTCAAAACCAAGACTCCAAAAAACCAACAAAGTCCCTTCAATGTGAGTAAAGGAAACAGCTTCAAGCACTGACAATTTTTACAAGTGATTATTCAAGGAATGCACAGTAGCCACAGTTCAGACAAATCAACTACAAAAATCATTAAAAAGAAGAGTGGGGAGGGGCACTGCTTATTAAAAACAAAAGACTGGACAAAGAAATTGAAGATAACAGTGGGCGGAAGCTCTGCCTCCTCTGTCCCGTGTGACTCAGAGGGGCATGGGGGCGCGGGGGTGTGCGATCTGACACGGCTCATTTCCAGCAGATGCATGGAATTCAGGGATGCCTCGCGCTCTTCCTACAACAGAAACGGAATACTACAGGCTTGCTAGATAAGATCTCAGGGGTGAGTGGGGGTTCTGATCTTGTGAGAGCCCGTGTTCCCAGTTAAAGAGGAGGCAGCTGGCCAGAGCTCTGCTGGAGAATCTAATGCCCAAGACGGACCAGAGAGGCCAAACAGCTTGAGGACTCAGCAGGTGACAACCCTGTAGCCTGGAGAGGGGCTGCGCTGCCTTCTGATGCTGAGAACCACAGACCTCTCTGACCTGGATGTGGGTGCCAAGACTGATTTACTGTGCCCCCAGCAGACCCAGAGCCAGGGAGCAGGCCTCTTCTACCCCAGGAGACAGGCATCATTTCCCTACCGGTTCCTTGGGATGCTTTGGTGTTCTGCAAAGGCATCCTTAGTCTATTTTTTAAAGTTGCATTTTCTTATTTTGGTCATTTTTTGGTCAAAAGTACCGAGGGTATAGAATAAAAGCAAAGATGTCAATGTCTCTACCAGACAGAGGGGTGACCTAGTCAGCAGTTTGGAGGGAAATCATCTGAGGGTGCTGGCTCAGCAGGTCTGTCATCTAAAGGAGAGAGGCAGGCTCAGGTCCTGAAGGTCGCAGAGCCTCAGTAGTCCTCCTGAGTGTGTCTAGCTGACTGTTACCAAGTAACACGTAAAAGCAGAATCACAAAACTGGACCGCAGCCATCACGGCACTCAAGTCTATGCTTGGGCTCTTCCCTGCTCTGCTCTTGGAGTCATGACCAACACTCTAAAAGTCAACAAAGTCCCTTCAACATGAGTAAAAGAAATAGTTTCAAGCATTGACAATTTTTACGAGTGACTATTCAAAGAATGCACAGGAGCCAGAGAGCCAGACTCCACAGGGAGGCCAAAGGCTCTGAACACACGAGTCAATGTTCATGGAGGTGTAGACAAAAGATTCCACCTCACAGAGTTTGAAGACAACCTGTCCTTTCACCCACTACTACTGCTTTCTATGTCAACACTATAAAGATCAGGTCTGCGCTCTGCCCACGAGCCTACTTCTGAAGCCATCTGAAAAAATGAAAGCACTTGGATAAATGGAAAAGTATGCCTGAATTTTAAATCTGCTCAATTATAGGTTGTCTGTAGCAGTTAAGAATCAACATCTATGGCATTCTTTTAAACACTCCTAATTTACATATGACTTAGTCAACTTCTCTTGGTGTCACTGTCATGAGAGATATTATGCAGGGTAGAACAGTGACGTGAGCCAACAGGATTTTTTGCCCTTATTCTTGCTAAGTCATGATTATCTGAGCAGAGATGATTTTCTACCCTCTAGGATTTGTCCTGGATTTTTTCCTACGTTGGCTAGGGTGCACGCCCAGCATTTGCAGGGCAAATTCCTAGGAGTGCTTTAGGAGAAGAGGCAGCTGGAAGCTTGGCAATATCCCAAGGCATGCCCGTGCTCCTGGGAAGTGGTCTGTGTCACCTTGCTGGGTGAAACCTCCGCTATGGCTTGGGCAACTCCCTTAACCCAGTCTGGCTGGTTCTAGACTTCCCTGCTGCCGGGGAAAGGGGCACACTTCCAGGGAAGCAGCTTTCCTTGCCTTGCCCGCCCTGCAGCTGGCTAAAGTGCAGGATGGGAGGATGGCAGGGCATTATCTGTAGGCTCCAATCACACTTCCGTGGCACTGGGAACTGCAGTTTTCAACTCCTACCCTTACAAATGTTTCACCAGATCCTTTAAGTTCACCTTTTTACCCTCTGAGGGAGAAAAGGAGAAATTCTGATCACAAGGAAAGAACCTCAGAAGGGGAAGGGGGAAGTAGAGGGGTCTGCGTAATCCACAAAAGAAATCATCAGTCTCGGACATGATCCAGAACTGACTGAAACCTAATCAAGACCACAAGAGGTCAGTGTAGCAAACACAAAGGGAAAGGAAATGGAAAAAAAAAAAACTTTTAAGAGGAAATGGACTGCAGGTGCTCAGTGACTATGTATGCTTTGAGTTATAGAAAGAAAAGATAACTTCTTAGGTTTCTACCTCTTCACTTGGGGGAAAAAAAGGGGGGCCTGGCCAGACCTTGCCTAGCAATCCCAAAGAAAGCAGGATAAATGGGAACCCAAAGTTTTCAGTATCACCAATTATGGCTTAAAAAGAAAAAGGAGGAGGAAAAAAAAATCCCCTGACCATGTGATGAGGAACGCTACGACCTACCTCTCTCTCACCCTAGTATGACACACCCTAATCCATCTGTCACCGGAGCATACTATACTGGGCAGAGATAAAAGTTCTTTTCCTCCTGGGGTTTGCTAATCCAGTTCCCATAGCCCATATCCTTCAAGCTTTTTTTGAAGTAGTTCTTGGCCGTCTCGTAGTCACGGGCAGCTTTCTTGGCCTCACCATAGGAGAGTCTCAGTAGATCCCTGCGGTAACGGAAGGAGCAGAGCTTCTTAAATAGAAGAAAAATGTTCTTTTTGGAGACCCGGGACAATTCATTCCGTGGCCTAGAGAAACAAAAGCACTCATTATTCACCTGGGACCTGTAAGATGAGGAGC